AAAAAAAAAAAAATTTAAAATCAAGTGTATCTGTCTTTTCTTTTCTAGGATCTACAGTTTCAGCCTGGTTCAAAAACCCATCCCTATCTGAGGATTTACAGAGATACTATCCTATATGTTCTCTTAAGAGTTTTAGATTTTTTAAAGTTTAGGGGCGCCTAGATGGCTCAGCCAGTTAAGTGTCTGACTCTTGACTTCGGCTCAGGTCATGATCTCATGGTTTGAGATTGAGCCCAGCATCGCACTCTGCTGACAGCACACAGCAGGCTTGGGAGTCTCTCCCTCCCTGTGTGTCTTCTACTAGACTACTGAGTTCCTTGACAACAAGTGGCCAGTCTGGCTGACTGTGGAATCCTCAAGGCTGGGCACAATGCCAGGCACTAGTTCAACAAAATTAAAAATTAAAAAATACATAACTAAACCACACCTGAAACCAAGAGTTAAACCACTCTCTGTAAACTCCCCTCTAACCTACTAGAATCCTAAAACTGACCTGCAAATGATAGAAATGGCTTGCCCAAAGGCTCAAATTTTGATAGTAAATAGATATATCTGATAGCCTTAAAAGATGTACCCAAGATTATTACCCCCTAAATTAACAGAACTCACCTCCTAGATGAATAGGATGGTCTACATTCATCCATTTGGATTTGGGCAAGGCCAACAACACCCCTTTCTCCCTCTTCATCAGCTGCATTGTAATAGTGTCACCAACAACATACTGACGTGACTCGGTGGCAACAACACTGTAACATGGACATTTAGATGTAAAAGAGCAAGAAGTTAGCAGACTGGGGTGTAACCTAGTAAATGTCTCCTTCTCACCTCTTGAGATCCTTCTTATGCACAGAACTGTAACAGATGGGACATTTACTCCAGGTCTTCTCACTCAGTGAAAGGTAGTGCAGAATGCATGCCCAGCAGAAGATGTGTCCACAACGGGTTATCTTGGCTGCAGTAGGTGGATATAGGCATATTGGGCAAGATGGCACTTCATGGCTACAAATGCGCTGCAACAAAAGGGCACCACGAGTTACACTGCTTTCAAAGTGACATGGGATTGTCAAAATTAAAGCCTCTCCTCTCCCACCCCCATCCCTGAACATCTCTACTCAACACATCTTCACAGAATTGTTCAAAATGCAAGTATATAATAACACTTTAAGTGAATCGTTAAGGAAATCACAATAATGGTTTAATAACTACATAACAAGTACTTTAGAGGTTCCACAAAGGAAAAAGGAACAGAAATCAATATATAATCCCATTTATAAAAAGAAACTTTATACGTACACGTACACAAAGGCTTATAAAAGGTCGAAAAGTAATGTACCAATAATCTCCAATAGAGAAGTCTATCAGACCTACACTTTATATGCATCTCTATTTTTTTTTTTAACCAATAAATATAGAACTTAGGTTTCATAGGCCTTGTCATTCTCTGATGTTTTTATCAATTTTCATAGTTAATGAGTAGCCAGGCTTGGAGACCCAGCACTTTGAAAAGTATTGTATGGGGTGCCTGGGTGGCTCAGTCAAACATCCAACTCTTGATTTATGCTCAGGTCACGGTCTCACAGTCGTGGGATCGAGCTCCATGTCAGGCCCACTGACATGATCAAGCTCCCTTCAGGCTTCATGCCAGGCATGGAGCCTGCTTAGGATTCTCTCTCTCCCTCTGCCCCACCCCCACTCAGGCTCACTTGTGTTCTCAAAAAAAAAAAAAAAAAAAAAAATTTACATCCCTATAACCTAAGAGCAGCAAAGGAATACCCAGAACTCATTACTTCAACAGAAAACAAAATGCAGCAGTGGCTTAGACAGTAGTGTACCTGGTGGCTCACTCACCTGCCACAAGACTGAGGCCTAATTTGATATTGATTACTATAAATGGCTACCGATGAAGCCATGTTCATGCAATGAGCCCACCCTAGGTCAGGAAGGTAACCAGAGTGCCTCATGTATTTCTCTGGTTATTTCTTCCCAGGAGAAAGGAGGTCGTAGATAGAACTGCTTTGACGAGACAGAACCTTTGATGAGAGCCCTCCAACTCCCCAATCCTGCAGGCTAGTGCCAATTAGCACAAAATGAACTCCAGGAGAAACCAGGACTCATCTCTGGGGGACTTATCTCTACAGTGAGGTCATGCAGAAAAAAGGTATCAAGTGATACCAGCCAACAGCTGCTGTGTCACCATGGTTCCTTTCCTTAGTTCTCTCTCCCACTAACAGTTTATAAGCTTAGCCGAGCTACTCACCACTTGTTCCACAAAGTCCCAGTTGACTAAGGTATCAGGATCAGCAAAATGAACTGTGTAGTCTTGGTCTTCAGACACCACAAATTGGCAGCTGGAAACAGGGAAGAGGACAGGGAAAAGGCAGACTCTCAGAAGCCACCAACAAGCCCTCAGCAGAAACTCATTACTCCTTCACTTAGAAATCAAATACAGGCCATTAGCAGCCATGGTTTGTGAAGCACTGAACTAGGACTTCAGCCTCAGTTCTGAGCCCCAGCTCTGGAGGGAATCCAAAGACTTGCCAAGTAGGAGTCTAAATCCATGAACTCTGTTTCTTCTGCTTCCAAGCCTAGCCAAGGCCCTGCAGGCCTCCCCTGAGCTAAAATTAACCCAGACTGCGGCTCTATCAATCAGCAGGAAGCCAGATTTCCTCCCTCCCTCTGAGAAACCATGGCACACAGCTAGTCTTCAAGGAAGCAGAAAGACTGTTCTTGCTCAGTCATTTGATTACCAATTTATATAAAGTACTAACCAATTACTTCAGTCTAGATCCAAGGTCAAATCTTACATTGTAACTAATGACACACAAAAGGAAATAAAAGGGAATCAGTATTTGAGCAAACGTATGCCATGCCAAACACTCCAACCCATCATCCAATTCTCCTTTAAGTAATCCTCCTCCTTTATAGGGAGAAGCTGAATCTCACCTTGGCTAAATAAATTACCCAAGATTGAAGGTCAAAATAAATTCAAATGTGGGTCCAATTCCAAAACAAATACTTTTACTACCTCATTATGACACTAAAGCATTATTTAATTTTAGCATTAATCAATGTATTTATTTAAGCATTATATTCTTTTAAGCACCAAGAACATCCACTTGAAAAGCTGGTTTTCGACACCTGCACTGCCCCCCAAAAAGAGAGACGAGGAAAAGAACCAGATCAACTCCCTTTCTGCCTCTCTCCCATAGCAGTTTAAAAGAAGCTTCTTCTCAGCACCAAGAACCACCCAGAGGCTCAACTGCACTTTCCTCCCAAGAGTAGACATACTCACTTGGCCTGTAAAAAGAGTTCCTTGTTAAAAGGCTTATGCCCCCATTTGTTCCTCTTTCCCCAGCTGCCATGTCCACTGCCTTCAAAGTGACCCGCCTGGCCACGGGGTTCAAAAGTGAAATTCAACAAGTGGTTCAGATTGATCTTCTTCGGACCAGAGAACTGGGCAGGGCTAAACTCTGCCCGTTGAGCCTCTGCTACCTAGAGAGAATAAGAATGAATCAGAGTATTTCAGAATAGAATGACACTGATTGATAGCAGAAACCAGCACAACCCTCCTTCTACATGGTTTAAAATATTAACTAAATGAAATACAGCTTAAAGTAAACAATCTTCCTAGGAAAGGGGAATACAAAAGTCTACCTAAGATCTGGATGGGAACAGAAAGGGGGACAAGAGCCTTTACCATATAATTACTTAAACTGTTTAGGCTGCCCCGCTAAATGGCAATTAACTATTTATTAAATGACTAAACCCAACATGAAGTCGTCTAGCTACTGGGAAGCACAATGATTTACTTACTGGATTAATTTTTTGACAATCCCATAGGACTCCTAGACCTTCACTCTTGTTAGCTATTTGTTCTCTGGTTTGTTTCTGGCAAAAACAAGTCTGTGGAACTATACTCTGGAGGCGGCTTGCAAGCAGCTGCTAACTGCCACGGGCTTCAGAATCCTGCCAGAGACCTCCCGTCTAAGACACACACTGCTATTCATTGTTAATTAAAACTGACAGAATTAGAACATGTAGGCAGACTACCTCTGTGTCCAGAAATAAACCCAATCAGCAGAGGAGAAATACCACTGCACATAAAGATAGAAAAAATCACGTTGGGGCTTTTTAACATTTCCAAATTGAAGTGGAAAGTACTTATAAGTCAGCCAGTGCATTTTCTAATCCCAATTTATAATTTAATGTCATAAGCACTTTGCCATGTGAGTCATATTAACACATAGTCGCTTTAAATGGCTATATACCATTATGTCATATAGGTATACTATAATGCCCTTGTGTCAGACACAGACTGTTAGTAGCTTGTCCACTGTAATAAAATAATGTTATGATAAACACATTTTGGGATAGATCTTTGTGCACAAATATTTGGTCACCTATCATGGTTTCTTTTGAATGTACAGTAGGAATTACTGGGTCAAAGGAAATACAAATTTAAGGCTTTTGCGGCTTAGTCATATTTAGAAATTAGTAAGCAGCACCCGCACAGACATCATAAAGAAGCTAAAGAGTACAAAAAGGGATATGGTGAAAGATACATTCCATCCCAGAGACAACAAATATGACTTGCGATACCCTATGCATATAGACCACAGCATATGACCCTTATGATTAAATACAGTGGCAAAACATACAATTAAACAATTTCCTTTCATTTCAACAATAGATCCTGGGAGACAACCCCCCCACACACTGTTCATGTAACTCACCACAGGAAGCTCACCACTTCCAGGTCATCCCTTGCCTCTTATCCCCTGGAAAATCATCTCCATGGGACTGCTGTCCTCTCATCAGTCTTCCACTCCCAATGCCCCCAAATTAGATAAGAGCTTGTGCTCACTCAACAAAATCCTCCACATCCTCAACCTTCTATTGTCCCACTATTATCCTAGCTGCCACTACCACTCTCTCTGATACTGCCCATCACAACTCCTGATTATCCTTCCAACACTGACCTCTCATTTCCTTGACCCCCCCTCTCTCCTCCAATTAGCTTGTCCTCTACTTCAGGAATCCAATCCCCATAGACATACCATCTGGAGCTGTGCCATCCTTTACAGCAACCACTACTAGCCAAATGTGGCCAATGCCACATCATGAAATACCATTTTAGCTATATTGGGTAAAAACATTAAAATTAATTTCACCGTTTTCCTTTTTGAATGTGGCAACTAGAAAAAAAAATTTTTTTTTTTTTTAAACATTTATTCACTCCTGAAAGAGAGAGACATAGTGCGAATGGGGAAGGGGCAGAGAGAGAGGGAGACACAGAATCCGACGCAGGCTCCAGGCTCCAAGCTGCGAGCACGGAGCCCAATGCGGGGCTCGAACTCACGGACCACAAGATCATGACCTGAGCCGAAGTCAGCTGCTTAACCAACTGAGCCACCCAGGCGCCCCTAGAAAATTTTAAATTATATATGTGGCCTGCATTTCTACTGGACAGCACTGCTCTATAATCTAGACCATAAGGGTAACAACCACACATCTCCCACCATCATAATTTTGAGCACCCAACATTCAAGCAGCAACTCCCTCCTTTCCCAGCTTGTTCCCTTCAGTCCTGATTCCAACAATTCTTTACCCCTACTGGGATCTCCAAACCAGTGATCCAACCCATCTCTTCATTTTCTTTCCTTACTTGACCTAAAGCCTATGGTCCACAACCCCTTTCTTTCTCTCTGTCATCTGTACTCACCTAGCAGGACCTTCCCCTAATTAATCTATGTATTTCCACACCAGCACCAGACAGTTACACACAAGAACACAACCACACCACACTGACCAGTCTCACTGAAGCAGCCCTACCACAACCCTGTTACCTTTCTGTACCCACTTAACTCCCAGTCACCCAGACAATGCCATTCTGCAAGGCTTCCAAGGCTCCCCTCTCAGCTCACCTTCCATATTTCAGAAACAATAAGAACAATCAGAAGAGAATTCCTATGTCCTCCTACCAGTACTCTGCCTTCTTCTGGTTACTGAGGATGAACTGGCAAAGCTCCTATTTAAGCCAACTCCTCCACTTGTACAGTAGGATCACAACTCCTCAAGGACACTGTTACAGTAATTCTCGCCCTTTCCTCTGCATGTCTGCCCCCTAACAAGACAATCCCATTAGCAGAGATATGCTGTATTCTTCTTTTGAATCTCTTTAACTTTAAAATCTCTCGACTTCAGGGGCGCCTGGGTGGCTCACTTGGTTGGGCTTCCGACTTCGGCTCAGGTCATGATCTTGCGGCTTATGAGTTCGAGCCCCATGTCGGGCTCTGTGCTGACAGCTCAGAGCCTGTGGCCTGCCTCAGATTCTGTGTCTCCCTATCACTCTGTCCTAACCCACTCCCATTCTGTCTAAAAAAAAAAAAAAAAAAAAAATTCTCGACTTCACATTCCCTCAAGCTACTGCCTCACCTCTCCACTCCCCTTTAGAGCAAAGCCCCTAAAAAGTACTGTCTGAACTTGATGTTTCTTCCTCCCATCCTTCCATTCTCTGAAGCTATCCTATCTGGTTTTTGTCCTCACCACTCCACCAAAGCAGCTCAAAGCCAACAGCCTATATTCACATGATCAAATCTACTAGTCCACTTTCAGTCTTAATCTTCTGCAGCCTATCAGTAGAGGGCAAAACTGACCACTTTCTCCAAATGGCTTTCAGTTCTCTTCCTCCCATCTTGCTGGTGCCTCATGATCCTGACTCGGACCTCAGTCCTTGAATCTATTCCCTTTCTGCAGCACTGACCTAGTTCCATAGCTGCAAACACCAAATGTATGCAGATGGCTCTCTAGCCTGGGTCTCCTCCTTGAACTCCAGATTCCATTAACTGTCTATCTCTACTTAGAGATCTAGTAGGCATCTCCACACAAATAGCATATTTCCAAAATGAAGTTCTTTATCTCAACTCTCCTTCCCTCCCCACCACCCCCAAACTTTCTACTTCTCTTGAAATCTTCCCCACTTCAGCATACAGTACCTGAACTGAGCTCCCACTGAAAACATTTTTTTTCGAAGTCATTCATTTCTCTGCTCAGACCCCACAACTAACATATTAAACAATCCTGTTGGCTCTATCTTCAAACATCACCCCAATGTGTATGCCACTCACCACTATCACTGTTTCAAAGCTTCCATCACTCTCACCAGAAATACCTTAACAGCCTCCTAACTAGCCTCCTGGTTCCACTCTCTCCTTTAAAACTCCCAACTCAGATTACAGAACTTCCCTTCTTAAACCCCCAATAGCTTCCCATCTTTCTCAACCAAATCCAAAATCCCGCAAGGCCCAACACGATCTGACCCTTCTTGTCTGTTCTTTGGCTTCATTCTCTACTCCTCCACTCATGGTAGCCTACATGTTTGACCTCAAACAAACCAAAAGTATTACCACCTCTGGTTCCTTGCACTTGTGCACTTGTTATTCCTTCTCGCCAAGACATCCTCCTCAAAACTGTATGGTGTGTTCCCTTGCTTCGTTCAGAACTCTACTCAGAATTCACTTCCTCAGAATAAGTAGCCTTCCTTCGTCACCCTCCAAAACTGTACTCTTTGTTACTCTCTATCCCTTTAATTCTCTCAATCTACTTTTTGTTAATTCAATAAGCACTTACCTTTGGATTTATTATATAATCGACACCTGAACAATACAGGCATTAGCAGCATTGATCCCCTGGCGCAACTGAAAATACACGTATAACTTTTGACTCCCCAAAACACTTAACTGCTAATAACCTGTTGACTGGAAGCCTCACCAATAACAGTTAACACATGTTTTATGTTATATATATTACAAAGTATATTTTTACAATAAAGCTGGAGAAAAGAAAATGTTATTTAAGAAAATTTTTAAAAAAACACATTTATGACACTGTATTTATATTAAGAAAAAAAAGTCCACATAAGTGGCCCAATGCAGTTCAAACCTGTATTGTTCAAGGGTCAACTGTGTAATGGTCTATTTTCTCTGTAAACTAAAATATAAGTTACAATGTTCTACTCAGTATTGTATGCCAAACTCCCATGTGGTATTTGATGCACAGTAGGAGAGGACAAAATTTTTGGTGAATGAATTCTTCCATGAGTACATTAAATCTGCTTTATTTTGTAATAGTTACATAGTACGAAACACTCAAACAGGAGGATAATTCATCTAACCAATGCCTTGTTAATTTAGGTTGTTTCCTAGATTCTGCAACTACAAACAATGCAACAGTGAACTCCTTTGTACAGAAGTCTTTATGTACTTCCAAAAGGATATCTAAGAAACGCCTAAAATCAGTACCTAGGACTAAGGATATAGCATCTTACAGTTTGCTATAGATACTACAGAGCAAATGTCATTAATTAAAGTCATTGTATTACTTAAATATTCAAGAGGCACCTCTAATTCAAGAGTGATAATAAAAGGTACCATCTATAGTATCTAGGGTACATTTATAGTATCTTGCTATAATTTCTCACAACCCATGATGATGATGTCTTCTTCCTCCAAAGAAATTTTCACAGCTTTCAAGAAAAGAAAGGAGGCAAAGTTCCAAACCTAGTTAATCCTCAACTACTCAAGACTGCTTTGGTTATTTACTCTTTCACCTCTTTCTCCCCTCCTCCCCAACTACTGATAAACTGGGAGGCAGGGGAA